AGGCTGTGCAGGGACGCCCTCTCCTCACCTCTCTCCTGACACTCTCTTCTGCGGGGAGGAAGAGGAGGAGGCGGTGGAGGATCTGGAGTCAGCAGAGTCCCTCCTGGCAGGATGAGTGACAGGGACCAGGCGGTGGGTCCGGCCCCACATCCGCAGCCCGGAGAGGGGCTGGGGTCCCACTTCGCCCACCCCCATCCAGCCCAGGCCCCCACCTCTCTTTCTTGCCATCTGGAGGTGATTTCTTTGAGGATGCAGTGGGGCTCCGGCTGTCGCTGGACCCTCTACACCCAAAGGAAGGGAGAGATGCTCTTGGTGAGTCCGCTGTGATGGGGTGACCCCATTGTGACCCTCATCCTGCACACCCCATCCCTGAGCCCCACCACCCTCCAGCTGCCAGCAAAGCCCCCCAGGCTGTCAGAGCCCTTTGGTGGGTACCTCTCAGGGTTGGTGTCACCAGGGTGGCCCTGGGGGGTGACACGAGAGCCGGACTTGCTGGGCTTCCTGGGGACAGAGAGATTGGGGCAGGGTCAGACAAATACCCTAAAACAGTCCTTGCCCAGGGAATAAATAGCAATAAAGAAGTGAAAATAAAATTTTGAAAATGTTGGGGTTTGCTCCAGTCTCTGAAAGCTGCCCTGGTGCTGCTAGCACCCATAGACAGACAGAGATGGAGAAACCAAACTTATAAGGATCAAGGAGGGGGTGGTCTCAAATCAGCCCCACCTCTCCTTGTGCTTCTCCTTGTGCTTCTCAGCCGGGCTTTTGGGGGGCTTTGCCCCTTCGTTGGGGCAGCTGGGAAGATCCAGCCCCTTCTCCTTCTTCTCCTTCTTCTCCTTCTCCCCCTCCGTGTCCTTCTCCTTCTTGGGGGCGGTGGAGGACTCTGGGGAAGGAGCTGGGTGTCATGGGCACAGCCCCAGCCTGGGGTAAGGGAATGGCTGGGGGGGTACTCAGCCCTTTTTGGGGGGCTCACACTGATTTACACCACTTAGAGAAAAATCCATGGAAAATCCGTAGAGTTTGTGCATCTCCTGGCAGGACTGGGTTGGACTGAGCCCACCCTGACCCCCCTGGAGAGCATCAGGGTTTTTGGGAGGGTTTGGGGTTTGAGGTGGGGCGGTTCTGCTCCCCCAGCAGCCGCTTCCAGTTCTTGATGAGGATTTTGGCCGAGGCCACCACCTCCTCGTCCGAGCAGTGTTTCCGCACTGAGTTGACAGCCACCCCGATGCGCGTGGTCTGGGGACGCAGGGACACGTCCTTAGGGATGTGACAAGCAGGGGGGACACAGGACGAGCCACCCCATGGGGTGTCCCCCCCTGCCCAGCCTGGTCCCCCTCACCTGGAGCAGCTGGATGGTCATGGTGTAGCCAGTGAGGGACTTGAGCAGGTCCAGTGCCCCTTCCTAGAGCGGGGAGAGGCCATGGAGCACCTTGAGAAGCTGAAAGGAAATGGGGGGGGCCCCACACCGAGACCGCCCACATTCCCCCTTTCCTCTCACCAGCACCCCAAAGGGACACAGAGTTGGTCCCTGGAGGTGGGGGATGCACCCCAAACCCCAAACCCTACTGGATCATCCCAGCACGGGGTCACATCTCCCGGCTGGGAAACTGGAGATTCCCTTAAAGCTGGGGGAAACCTCCCCATAAGGAAACCCCAGGCTGCTGGGACCCAAGTGCTCCCACACAGGGGTGCAGGGGGTCCATGGGACATCCACCCACAGGGTTTTGGCCTGACCCTGTGCACACAGCAAGGCTAAACATAGTCCCGGCACGGAGCCCTCCTCCTGCTCCTTCTCCTCCTCCTGGGTAGTATTTTTAGAGCCCCCGTAGCAGACACCAGCTCGCAGGTATCACCTCCCTAGGCTGGACCCCCACCCGCCATGAGGGCTGGATTGGACCCTCCCAGTACGTGTCCCCTGTAAGTGATGAGTGCAGGGGTCTCCCCAACTCTGTCCCCCTCCCCAGAAATGCAGACATGGGGGTGAGGAGCAAAGGGGCTGGACAGGATCAGTCCTTCAGCCCTGGGGTAATTCTGGTGGGGAGCAGAGCCCGTGCAGCCTCCATGGGATCTGATTTGACTCCAAGTGTTGGCATCCCAAAAAGTCACAGGATCTGGGGGAATGGCAGTGCCGTTTTCCACCCCCTCTCATCCAGGAGCCTGCACCTCACTGGGGCAAAGGGCGGTGAAAACAGTCAAATATTAACTTTGAGGGCCGGGCCCAAGCCTGCTCGCCCACACGTAAGCACTGGCCAGGATCCCCGGATGGGTTCTTACCTGCTGCCATGGGAGGGGGGTGCAGACTCTGGGTCCCCAAGTGGCACCCCATTGCCAAAGCCCCCCCCAGGAGCCATCGCTCAGCCCCCTCCCCTTCCTTTGCACGCTTGTATGTGCTCGTACAACAGGCAGGGCTGGGGCTGGGGGGTGGTCGTGCCCTCCCCCAGCCCAAATTCCCTCTCTCCCAGCAAGTTTTCCCCTGCATGGGGCTGAGCCCGTGGTGCCAGCCCCAGCCCCGATCGGGTGTTGGTGGCCGGGCCGCTGGCCAAGCACCTGTCACCCACATTTGCCCATGGTCCCACACCACTGAGGGGGTGCCCAGAGCTGCCACCCTGGGACAAAACTCCCCTCCTTTGTCCCCAGATCCCAACAGCCACCAGCAACAGGGTGCAGGAGAGCCCCAAATTGGAGGTAAAATAAAATATCCCTGGGTGCTGGCTCTGACACT